CTGGTCTTTTTCTCCAAGTTCTATCTATAAAAAATAAAAAAAAATGAAGCCATTTATTGATTTGTTTGTTTGTTAGTTTGTCTCAGTTTTTCCTGATGATGTCACCATTAAATATAGATTTTGTGCTAAAGTAGGAAAAAGGGCATAAACAAATGTATTTTAGGACTATTTGTAGTGAAACGTAAAATKATCATTTTCTTTATTTTACATGTTGCTAGTAAATGTTCTCACCATCTAGTTTGGGTATTTCAGGGTTTTTCTTAAAATATGTGAATGGAGAGAAGCATAGATGTAAAACAACAACATCTGTTTAAAACCTACATGAAGTTGTGTTGATGATGCGTGAGAAAGTGTTTTTCTYTTTTTCTGTAAAGAAGCGATTGTTGATACGAGGTAAAACATTACATTTAACTAATGTTCACCTGTTTCACGTCTGTTCCTGTCCCTTTAGATCCCTCTCAGAAAGCAATGTTTCGTGTTCTCAATACCAGTCCAGTCAAAGAAGGGGATGATGTCATCATGAAATGTGAGACGGATGGAAACCCACAACCCACAGACTTTGAATTTAAGGCAAATGTACGTTAACCCGAACAGCTGTGTGAAACAGCTGTATGATTTTTTTTTCCAACATATTTGTCACCTAAACTATGGTCAGCCATCTGGTCAGCCTTTTCATGTGATAATCCCTTTTTTTCCACATTTCTTTTGATACCCAGGAAACAGTCATTATTGGTCAGGAAGGTATTCTGACACTGAAATCTGTAACTCGCAAAAACTCCGGTCGTTATTCGTGCCACGTCACAGACTATGAAGCCCTGGATGCCGATCTGACAGACAGCCTCACCCTCACTGTCAACTGTGAGTGAGCCACCCACTTTCACACACAAACCCGTCCAGATTTAAGTTAATGCACGTTAAGAACAATTTACCTCCTGTTTGTGGACTTTCACCCTCACAATGAACCATTATTTTCAAAAGATTTTCATTTTATCCCCCCATAAATCATACAATTAAAAAAGGTACCATGGAATCAGCTTTAATGGAATATTTTCAGGGGGGCAAAATCCACTTTGATTTTTCACAGTTCATCTGTTACTTTAATACTTTCCCAGCCACACTGCCTAATTTGATCTTATCAYGCACATTAAGTGGTAAGAGCCTTGAACAAGACAGACTGGGCTTCAAAATAGGCTTAACTTCCGAGTAAATGTATTAGCTTTGCTCGTGAAAAAAAAAAAAACTAAATCTGTTTCAAATCTGTAGTGCCATTTTGAGAGTCCTTTTACATGAATGTTTAAAGAATGTGCAGAGTTTGGATCTGAAGTGGTGTCTTTTTACCTTTTCATAGAGACCCTCAGGTTTCCAGGTGTTTCCTGCCATATCTCTTACCTGCTCTCCATTTTCTGCTTGTCAGACATTGACCCCATGAGCGTGACCCCAAGTAAGCCTCAGGTTGTCATGCTTGGAGACAAGGTGGAGTGGCAGTGTAAGACCAAGGCATCAAAAGGATATGCAGTTCATTGGAAAAAGGTACATTTTATTTCATGTACTTTTGTACTTCTTATTTAAAAAAGTGCTGTTGGAATATCACATTATGCTCCCTTAATCTAATAAAGTTCATTGTGTCTATAATATCAATCTACTGTTTTCCTAATTACTACACACTTTTTTATGTCTATACAGATATACTGTACCTGACATGTTTCGACGTGTACTAGTAATTAGGAAAACATAGTAGATTATGCTCCCTTTTTTCTATATTTTTTCCATATGTTGTATCTCTTATAGGAAATAAAATGTCTGTATCATGCTTTTGTCAAAATACCACAAGGGTAAAGTACCACAGAACTCTTTCTACCCTGCTTTGAAAGTCACATTTCCCTGGGTGCRCTTCTGTAGAGATGTGCGTTGCACTTCGAGAACTCTCACAGGAAACCAAATTCGTAGTTTATTCCATTACTTAAATATCCTCAAGTGCATAAAAGGTTTTCATCTTTTATATTRCGATCTATTTCCAAGCTATTTTTGTTCACAATARTGTTGTATGGAGATTATAGCTAGCAATAATGCACAACATAAGGCTAAAGGTATGATGTGTTGACAGTGRGCTCGTGTGGTTTCAGCACATTCACGACACAGTTCTACCAACAACTAAGCATGGCACCGTATTCACATATAACTGACAAGATGTCAACAAGTTATTTTATTTTGTCTACATAAATTTAWATAACTTATGTTAAAATATTAAAACATCTAAAAGCAATTCTAGTATCTGGCTTTTAAGCAGAGATGTATAGTAACAAAGTATGTTTACTTTTACTTTTCTATAAGGAGATGTAATTTTACTAAGTATCTTTTTTTACTTTCTCTTTTATTTTGCTTAAATGACACCTCAAATTATGAACGGAGTTGTTTATGCATTTTAAAACTTATTTACCAAGTTATGTCAACTGGTYACACTAAACCAAGCTGAGTAAATGTAAAGCAATTTAATTAAGGTATTTTTAATTTTACCTTTTTTAATACTTTATTTACCTCTGCTGTTAAGTGTGCTGACGAAGTGAATATTGAGGATTTAGTAGTTGCAGGTATCCTGTAGCTTGACTGGCAACAGCCAGGTGTGCCCCACTGGTTTTGAGTGAGTGAGCATGTTTCGTTCAAAGCTGCAAGGAGACTCTGAAACTGACAGCAACAGCTTGGAGACAAAAAAGAGACTGATTGATTTTAACAATCTGTWCAACACCAGACAGCCTGCCTTTTCTCACTATTAGTCCCACTGTGCAGGAGTGTTGTTCCTTTCAATCACAGGCTTGTCTAGATGTCCTTGCAGTTTTTTTTTCTGTATGTCTCATCCGTCGGGGCACTGAGGGTAAACATGCTAACACTGACAGTGGAGAAGATTTTAATTGCATACCTCCATTTAAATGCCCATTTTTAAATAAATAAATAAAAGATGAATATTAGTGTGTAGCTGCTAAAGCTTTTTTTGTTTGTGGCATTTTTCCGTTTCGAGACAGTTATGACCCTGTTTTATTTTATTAGTTTCATTATAATATCACCTTGGTGCTTGTTGCTCTGCCTGGATGTAGGAAAAAGCAAAAGGCAGATTGTTAGTCTTTAATGACGTTTTACATTCAGTGGTAAATTGTGTTTTGCTGTAATATTTTTTTAGTTTATAATAAAATCATGTCATTTCATTTTTTTTCTTTTCTGTTTACACTGACAAACTTAACAGTGCAGTAATATTGAAGTACAGTGGTTTGCAAAAGTATTCATACCCCTTGAACTTTTCCATATTTTGTCACATTACAACCACAAACATAAA